TAGGACTCTGGTCAACATTCCCAACACAAGGGTGAAGGGGGTCATAACGACAGCATGGAGGGTGAAAGGTTTTCATGAATGCCACTCGAAAGAGCACACCACACTATATGAAAAATAAGCACGGTTAAAATTGTGACAGTGAAGGCATGATAGGAGTATATAGGAAATGTAAATAGCACAGAGCAGAAGGGGAGATACCACAACTGTTTAGCACACGTTTGGTCAAAGGATGGGCTTCACTTGTCTCTTTGACGAGTTGTAATATGGTGCTACGAATGGCGAGACTCACTGAGGATGCCGGCGTAACGTCTTGGAAAGTACCACGTCCACGGTCCAACTTTGGAAATTATCATGCATACAATGGACTCCGGACTAAAGCGTTCTTCTAAGTCTTCCTAACAATGTGACAAAGTTGGGAAAACAAGGTCAAACAACTTCTATACAACTTCTATTAACGCATTGTTTTAGGCAACTCTTAAGTCTCAACTTTAGTTTTTATGTAGAGTCCTTAGGTATACTTTTATACGTATCAAAATCATCTAAGACCAGCATTATCTTTTCTATATAATCGGTCCTATCCATAACTAGGACTGCTTCTTCTTTCTCTTCCCTCAAAACTATTTGCTTCTGTTTTCTAAGTATCTTTATTATATTTGGTTGTACATGGTTACCAATTATAGGAATAACCTGTACTCTAATTTCACTTCTAGTTTATCCTGTTAATCGGTCAGTATATTAATATCATCTACTAAAATCTCATCAATGAAGCTCTTACTATTTGGCAAAGCATAATTAAGACCTCTTGATATTACTTCCTGAGTAGCACTGTCCAATGATGTTTTGGGCAGTTAACCACTTTCCGACCTATCTTCCTTTTCTCTTCCGATTGTTATTTAAAGATCTAATTCTAATTCTTAGGTTCTTAAGTTTCTTATTTTATTAAATAGCATTGGTTCAATAATATTCTTAAATTTAAATAACTTTTGAACCTACGGATTAAATTAATTTATGCAATATGGTCTGAAATTCTTAGTTCACCACCAAAATCTATGTTTAGTTCATCATTTATAAAAAACTAATACATATTTTTTTACTGCGTTGTTACTCTTCTTCATTCTCTGCAAAAGCTTTTGTATGGAAACAAATAAATTTGGACTGAGACAGAAACTTTGTAAATGGCTTAATCAAAATATTTGCCACAGTCTCTAGATCCGAATAAATAGTCGAAGCACTACTAGTGACTTGATTTTCGATACCAAAGTACGAGAATTTTTAAAGGATATACTAATTGATTCACATTACTCCATATAGATTCCGAATAGTTTCGACAGTAATTTGTAAAATCTCCTTTTATAATAGATCAGTTTACTTTTTTGTTTGGTATGTGGAATGTCTTTCTTGTTCTCTGATTTACAGGTGCTTAAGTGCGGTGTCAAACAGCTTGAGCGCGTAGCTATCATGGCAGCGGCCTCGGCGGAAGATGATCTAAACGCCCCAGGAACTGTTGAACAAATCGCTGGTAACGCAGCCCATCCTGCCACATGGCGAAGCACCACGCCTGGGTGAGTTGTTAATTGGTCTCAGAGTTTTCATTTAACATTCGTTCTACAACACTGTTCTTAGAAGCATTTTTGAAGATAATTATTTGAGTATGAGACACTAGATATAAAAATGAGGTAATCGTTGCTCTTATATGCAAATAAAAGTTGGGTTTCTAGGAATCTCTTTCATAATTGTTGTGCTTACTTCCTTTTCTAGTGAAAGTGTTTGATGAAGAAATTCTAAAGTTGATTTCACCAGAAGACGACGGCGAATTTCTTTTGACCAGCCTTCAATTGACTTTACTGGAGCATTCATGCTGACGCTGTTTCCGAGCTAATCTCCTTCGATTCCTTTGAAAAGGTGCTAAGCTTTCGTCCGACATATAACAAACATCATCAGAGCAAGGTATCATCGTCACAATAAAATTCAAGCAAACGAGTCAAGAAACTCACTGGCAAATCTCTAAAAAGTGGTATATATACTCTAAATCTGGACTCTTTGATCAAGTAGAAAGTGATTTAGTTAGGTCAGGTGAAGCCTCTGAGTGTGTCTGTCTCTCTATGTGTACGTGCCTGTTTGTGTTCACTTATGCACGAAACCCGCAGTGATGGGTAAACGTAATTAGGACAGCAAAAAGTAGCGTCTGTTTTTGGCCATCAACGGTCGATGACCCCTATCTCCCCTTTCTACATACATGTTAGAACCATCACTCCGATTCCGCAAGGTCGGACACACATTTGGTTTTGTTGAAGAGCCTAGTTTTGTTTTTGGTCTTAATGCGAGAGAGGAGTGAGCCAAAAGTACAGAGAAGTGACTGATTAGAACCAAG